GACAGCCATGGATCCAGAAAAAAATAGGTATTCTGTCCTTATTATGAATAGTAATAGATACTGGGGTGGGCACTTAGTACCATCTGCCTGCTACCCGAGGCTCTTTTGTGTTACTCTTCTTTTTGTTCCTCTTTACATGCTTCACTCTACCAACAGAGACCTGAAGAGACAAAAAGGATAAAGGGCAGAAATGTAGCACTAGAATATAGAGGTAAATTCTTTGTCCTCCCTTTTGCTTCTTCGTTCAACAACCGCCTCCCCAAAGTACTAGGATGTGACATACGAGCAAAGGAGAGGGGGAAGGAGTAGGAGACCAGTTTTCAGAGTCATTGTGAAAGATGATTACTTACAAAGGGCTTGGAGATCTTGGCTTCCTGTGCTGTGCTCAAAGTCTGACCATTAAATGAGGACATAAGTCAATGGGCTTTTTTTTATTGGGAACCGGGGAAAGACACTTATTCAAAAGGAACAAGTATGGAGAAATTGGAAAATCATCTCGGTAAGTGATCAAAATCACTCTCACCAACAAAGGGCAGACAGAAGGACGGCGCAGGCCTGTGCCTGCCTGCAGATGTGATATCCAGGGACACAGCTGTGGACAGGCACCAACATGTAACTACAAGGAAACATCAGACAAAGCCAAAATGAGGAATGAGGGACATCCTGTTACACAAAGGTTTATAAAAGACGAAGAGAGGCTGAAGAATTGGTCTAGCTAGATCAAAGGAGAATAAGGAGATTTGATCAAAAAGTTAAGAACATGATCCTAGAGAAGATCCTGTATAGGAAAGGAAAAAAGAATACAAGGACAATATTGGCTCAGTGGACAAAAGTTAAATAATAGTTGCTAAATTATTTTTCTTTAAAAAAAAATTTTATCTATTGATTTTAGAGAGGAAGGGAGAGGGAGAGACACTGATTTGTTTTTCTACTCATTCATGCATTCATTGGTTGATTCCTGTATGTGCCCTGACCAGGGACTGACTCACGACCTTGGTGTGTTGGGAGAATGATCTAACCAACTAGGCTACTGGGCCAGGGCCATGGTTGATAGATTGTTGAATCAAGGTTGTATTTTCTGAGATTGATAATTAAACTATGATTGTGTAAGAAGATGTACTCATTCTTAGGAAATACACACTCAGGCATAATATAAGCAACTTACTTTCAAATGGCTCAGAAAACATAGAGCGAGCAAGCAAATAATAAAGCAGATAAGTGAAATGCTAACAGCTAACAATAAGTGACTCTGGTCAAAGGGTGTGAGTGTTCTTCGTACAGTTCTCACAATGTTCTGGAAGTTTGAAATTCAATTCTCCCCCCACCCCCCGTACCAACAAGTAAGGAAAATAAGTAACATTCAGATCAGTTTATTCTTGCATTTGTCTGATGAACATTTCTAGATGCTGTTTGATTCTGTGCCAAAATTCTAACTCAAGCTTTCAATTGGGAAAGAAAGAAATGACTTCAATTAGTTAACATCTGTATGCAAACCAATATACCAGGACAGCCTTCTAGACACTTCTGTCAGGGAAACCTAAGGCAAGCCAGGCTTTTTTCTGTTCACCAAATGTATCTAGGAGCCTAAAAGATACCATCTGACTGAAGCTAAGTAACTGGGACAATCGCCACTGGACTTTTTCCACACAAGAGGACCAAATTAGCCAGTGGCTCTATGCAAGGATCACATTTCTCAGGCAGCTTGGAATCAAGGGGCCTGGCATTCTGGCAAACCCTTAAAACCACGGCAGTGGGAATGACAACTTGAACTTTAACTGCACTCCCTATGGCTCTGGCTCTGCCCACGGAAAAGCAAGTATGTCACCCCACATCTACACCAACTCCTCCGGTTCTTGGTATCTAGTAGTACTGATTGCACCTATACAAATTCTTACACACTGCAAAGGGCTTCCCTTTAAGATTGTTCCTAAGTAACCTGAGGCTATTTTAAAAAGCTTAAATAGGTATCTGTCAGCTTCTTCTATGTATACACAAGACACTCTCTTCATCCTTGGCCTGGCAGAACCATCCAAGTCAGAAACTTGCTGACTCATATGTAAGCTTAGTTGCCAAGGTTTCCCCTAACAAACTCTTTTTTGTTTAAAGATTATATTTATTTATTTGGCAGAAGAAAAGAGGGAGAAGGACAGAAACATAAAAGTGAGAAACATTGATCAGTTGGCTCTCATACGTGTACCTTGACTGGAGACTGAACCTGCAACTCAGGCATATGCCCTGACCAGGCAGGAATGGAACCAGCGACGTTTCACTTTGTAGGACGATGCCCAACCAACTGAGCCATGGGTCAGGACTCCCGTAAACAAATTCTTAAATCTGCAGAAAATTTTAACAAACCTGAGCTGTAAGTTCAGGCACATAAACTATGAATTTCTGAGATTTAAGTCTTCTTTAAAAGGTGTGACAATCAGAAACTAAAAGTAACAAGTGGTTCTGGCAAAGACTCAGCCTAGGAAGCTGACTCAGCTTCTACAGAGACTGAGTGTAAAGACTATCTCTTGGTCAGGATCTTTATTTCTATAGAAATAGAGTGTTGTTCCCTCTCTGGCCCCGCCCCCACACACAGCACCACAACCCAGCAACTTGGGTTGCCCTACCCTGGTGAACACTTAAGGCTCCATCCCTCACTGCCTAACAGGCACACCTAGACCACAAAAAAAAAAAAAAAAGAGCTGAAACGGAAGAACAGATCAAAGCTCCACAGCAAATACCACTAAGCAACCAGGAGATGGCCAACCTATCAGATGCACAGTTCAAAGCACTGGTGGTCAGGATGCGCACAGAACTGGTTGATTTTAGTCACAAATTAGAGAGACAAATGAAGGCTACGCTAAGTGAAATGAAGAAAAATGCACAGGGAACCAACCACTGAGTCCTTCTGGACAAAAGCATTTCACTGACAAGTGTGATCTTTCTGCTGTCATCACCATGTTCTCCAGTGTCTGGAAAATCTACAAACTAGAATGGAACCCAGGTGAGGACAAGCCTACGAGGGACACATCAGCACTTCTTTCCTTCTGGCAAAATAGGAAGGCAAACTGGAAATTAGTTTGTCACATAGAAAATGAAGGGATGCTGTATTTCCTAATAATGTGAGTTCATAAAAGTGAGCTTTTACCTGAAGCTCTGAGGGTTTGACTTGGGAAATAATAACTACCTCAGTAGTCATCAATAGGGGAATCACTATAGGAACTGAGATAGATCCATAAAACTAAATATTTTTCACATGTACTTTTTCCTCTGACTAAACATACCAGAAATTACAAAAAAGTATTACAATATAGCAACACCACAGTCACTGAATATAGTCTAATGTTAATATTCCTACATTTTTAGGTTTTTCATATATATATTTACATATATGCATAGATATTTACATGTCCATAAAATTCAATTTATTATAAATAATACATCAATCTAAAACATAGGATAACCTTGGTTCTCATTCTTTTCCCTTCTTTTGAAATAATGACTTTGGTGTATGAAAGTATATGTGGCTTTCCCTTAGTTCAATATTAAGTATTTTTGATAAAAAAATCTAAAAAAAAATCTGGAACCTTTATTTTGAATAAGGTCCCCTATCAGCCAGTCATCAGCCAGATTGCAGACTGCTGGTTTATGACACCATGTGCCATGACATCACTGTAACAATAACCTCAGAAGAGAAAGTGGTTTGTTTTTGGTTTTGAACTAGATAATGACTCCAAGACTAGAAAAGGTGACCAGCTTTTCTCCTGCATCCCTGTCCCACAGCCACCCACTTACTCTTATGGGCAACTCATATCACCAGCTGCTTATCTGTCCTCCCAGAGATCTTTATGCAGATAGTCACATCCAAGTATTTCCTTTATAAAGGACAGCAGCAGACAATACCTTGTAATGGGAACAAACCAAAGTGCAGAACAACATGTCATCTTGAAAATCTTTGCCCATCAAGACACAGAGCTCCCTTGTTCTATTTTAACTAGAATGGTATATGCCACTTTGTGGCTGTTTTCACACTTGATAAATCAGTTCCCTTTCGTTGGATATCTATGTTATTTCCGATCTGTTGCCACAATGCATAATCATGTACATGTCATCTTGTACACATGCAAGTGTATTTGTAGGATACATTTCTAGACATGGAAGTGCTAAGTCAAAGGATATAGGTAATTCTGATATTGCCAAATTGCCCTCCCCAAAAGTTACAATAATTTTTTTTATATCAATGCATGGTTGCCTCTCATGCGTCCCCTGCTGGGAACTGGCCTGCAACCCAGGCATGTGCCCTGACTGGGAATTGAACTGTGATCCTCTGGTTTTCAGGCCGGCGCTCAATCCACTGAGCTACACCAGCCAGGGCTAAGTTACAATAATTTTCACTCCCACTTGTAATGTGAGATAGGAGTTCAGGTTTTACAATGAGTTGAATTATGAACAATACCAATGGCTAACTTTCTAGATGCGTCCCTGAAAATATCATACCTTTATAGCTCAGGGATATAACAAATGACATTCTGAAGGAACTTTCTATACCATGGAAATCTGAGTAATTCCACCACTGCTATTAGCAAGGTTTCTGACTATCTGAGACCCAAGAAAAAGCGGAGCTGGGAAAAAAGAGAAGCTGAGTTAAGGCAATCCTTGCTATTCTTAGCTGACACACACACATGGTGAGGTCTTTTTCCCTGCATCAGCATACAAGGCTTAAAATTTTCCACTTACTATACAAAGTATTGTTCATGTGAAAAATTAACCAATTGTGCTGTTTATTATTTCAATTAACAAAAGCTTTACAAGTGTTACATCTACCAAAGTCTTGTACAAGAGAAGTTTACTTAATAAAGGCAGGGTGCCCAGAGGGAACCACTCTATAGCTAAGGACAAAGAATGTCATGCAGAGGGCACGCTGAAGAGAGAACAAGCTAGAGAAGCACAACTGAAATAGTTCCTCTCCTTTATAACTAACAAATAAGAAGGGGAAAAAAAGGGAACACATCTTTAGCTAACAGAGTTTACAATTTTATTTTCACATTTCACAATACAAATGAATTTTTTTGTCCCACTACTCCCCTCAAAAACTATTCTCTCTTTGATAGGAAGAGGGAGTGTCTTCCTTGTCGTGCTGTTAGAAAACACCCAGAGTCACAGCACCACACTCTCCCGGTGAACTAGAACAAGTAATACAAAAGTGACGGAAAGAGGCCCCCCTCTCTCCTTATCTGTCTGGTCGAGTCATTCCGGGCCGAGTGGGCACCATCATGGGACGGGCAGGAGGCCTCATCATTGGGGGCCCAGGCATCATGGGCATGTGCCCTCCCATAGGTGGCCTCATTCCAGGAGCTGCAGGACAAAACAAAGAAAAGGAAAAAGAAAGTCAGAAAATACTTCTTATGAGAGAGCTTGATGGGATTTCTATTAAAGATAAAAAAGTGGCCCCCCCTGCAAAATGCTGGAAAAAAGACATACTTGACAGAAGAATACAACAAATTCACCACATCTTTAAAATATTTAGACATTCTCAAACAAAAAACAAAAAGGTAAACACAAGAACCATATGGGAATCATACTCTAATGATAGTAAGGGAGAAACTATTAATAATAGATGGCTTTCCAGAAACCACCAGGGACACTAGTTCCCTAATGACCTTTTTTCTCACTCAGGGAAATTCACAACTAAGTCACATGTTACTCAGTCAGCTCTTTTAATCAGTTCTATGCACCATATTACCAGGAGCTATTTCATGGATGTACACAGGCACAGAGGACAATCTTACCACTAAGCGTTTGTTCGGAGTTGTAGGAAAGGTGAGCAGGAGGCCCATGCTGAGAACCTGTTAGTAACCATACTTAGCTCAAGTCAAGAAAAATAATAGGCAATAATGTGATTTATAACAGTTAGCACACACACACACAAAGCTGATTTTTCTAATGCATCTTAGAAACTATTAATGACTTTTTTTAAGTGTCAAATCAATATAGAAGCCAAATAAATGAACCAGGAAAGGGATGGCAAGCAGAGAGGTGAAGGCTGGGGAGAAACACAGGCAGCTTCATGGAACTGATAACGTTCTACATCCTCGGCTGGGTGGTGGGTTCATAGGTATTCATTTTTTATTATGCCTCATAATTTTCATGCTATATATTGCCTTGTTAAATATCAAATTTTACCCTAATTACTTATTTTTAACTAAATCATTTTGATTAAAGGCTTGCTATAAATGGTTCGAGAGAAAACTATATTCAAAGTTGAATACAGCCTTATCACAAAAAGTAAAACACAAGTATGCAAAGACACAAAATCCAACAGGTACATAATTTTTTTAAAGATTAATTTCAACAGGAACAGAGAATACTGCTAAACTACTGAATACCTTACTGAAAACCCCACGTAACATAACCAGTATTCAGCACTTGTTAAAGGAAGCTGATCTAGACCAAAGACTGAAAGCGAGGCACCTGAAAACTCTTCTTTAGCCTCCATAGTGCATTTCATTTTAATTAATTGCCAACACTGGCACTGAGTAAGTATAATTACTAATAAGTAAGTCTAGATCCTTTTCAACGTATTACAGAAATGTCCAAACACACACAAGAATAGGAAAAAAAAGAGTATAATGAACATCCATGTACCCATCAGCCAGCATCAACAGTTGTCTACCCCTGGCCAATTTATCTTATCCCCACCCACTCTTATCCACGCCCACCCCAACTACTCAATTATTTTAACGGAAACCCCATAACATACCATCTTATCTTGGCTAAAAATAACAACAAAATACTCAGGAGAACTGGCAACACCAACCTTCATTCTCAAATGTCAACCATGGGCTGCAGCTTGTTCTAGAAACCTTCTTTAGATGAGTCATGCACTCCCAGTTGAAACAACTAACCCATCTACAAATTTGAACTTGTGACTAATTTAAGAATGCAAAAGAAGCCATCTAAGTCACTTTGATTGTGTTTTGGGTTCAAAGCCAGTAAGGCAGGAACTCTTTTTATCTATACTCTCCCATCCCTCTAAATGATACCTGCAGTAAGCACCAGAAGGCTTCCAGCTGGGAAGCTACTTTAATACCTTTGTATCTTGCCTTACCAGCTGAATTTTAGGCTTCCTGCGTCAGCTGTATTTACTCTAATTACATACTTTATTCTGCAAACCAATAAAATAAGTGTAAAAAAAGAACTCTACCTATGAAAACTAAGTTGATATTTAGCGAGTCAGGTAGATCATCCCCAAAAAGTGCTCGCATGTTTGGAAGGTGAGCTGATCATAAAAGATGGGAACTAGCTTGCCTCACATGGTCTCTAACCACTTCACAGAAAATGAAACTAAAGGTTTGGCATCATAGGTATGGCTTACTGAATTCTGCAAAAAACATACAATGTTCCAATCAGTAGACTTGTTCTCAAAGTCAACGCCCTGCCCATGTAACAGAAAAATTTCCAAATTAATGTACACTTACATTTACATTAAAATAAAATGTTTGAAATATAAGCTTTTTCCCATTCCTAAACAAAAGACCAACTTCCAGGCCTAAAGCCCTTTTCATATACTGATTTAGCTTAGCTAACCTCTAAGATTAAAAATCAGCAAAAGGAGGTCAACTCCGGTCCAAATCAAAACCAAGAAAAGCAGCAGTACAAGCATGTATTAACCCCTTCCTTTATGCCCCTGTGGAACAAGCTCATCTACCTTTCTCTTCATTCTAAATGGCCAGAAGTCAGGACACCAGAAAACAGGAGGGAGGGAGAAGAAGAGAAAAAGAGGCAGCCTTATCCTGCTTTTAGTACCACAATGTCTCTGGATAGCATCCAATTACACTGATAAACCAAATATTTCTTTTTCTTTATTATTACAGATTCAAATTTAATTTGTTGCGATAATATACTTAGACGGCTAATTAAGACTTCCGTTTAAATGAAGAGCTAAAACACAATGAAGCATTCTAGGAAATTCACACTTACCAGGTCCCACTGGCATCATCCCAGGAGGAGGAGGACCCATCATCGGCATCATGGGAGGGCCCCCCATGTGAGGTGCTGGCATCATGCCAGGGCGAGGAGGACCCGCTGAAATAAAGAATGGGGCCTGAGGTTAAGACATGCTTATATATTAGTATTTTATCTTCTTATTGAAACTAATAGGGCCTCATGATCTGGTCTAAATCCTATTATAATAAACTTCTTATGCTCTTTTTTATAACAGTAGATCCACAAGAATCAGCATGCCACAAAACTTTAGTTACTCTGACTGAAAAGCAAGGACAAGCCTATCTAGACAGAAGTATAAAATGCAGTCAGGTTCCCCAGGTTTAAAAAAATACCAAAATTTACATTTTTAAAAAGGGGGTATTAAATTGTCCTGGCCACTGTGGCTCAGTTGGTTGGAGCACTGTCCCATAACCAAAAGGCTATGGGTTCGATCCCCCATCCTAGGTCCGGGTCCAGGCACCATGATTCCCAGTCCAGGCACAACCAACTAATGCTTATCTCTCGCATCAATGTTTCTCGCTCTGCCATCCCCTCTTTCTAAAAGCAATGGAAAAAATGTCCTCAGGTAAGGATAAAAGGGGGTATTATACCTTCTGTAGAGCTCCTGATAAAAAGCTGATGAACTTAAGCCACAACCACCTAATTTCAGATCATTTAATAAAATCAAAACCCAGACTTAAAATATTCTTTGAAAATACAAAGATATATATGCAGAGGCATTCCTGATGTATCACTTACAACAGCAACAACTTTAAACAACATACATGTCCATCAGTAAGAAAACAGTGAGGATAATTATGGTACATTCATACCATAAGACTATTCTACTGTTAAAAAAATGGAGTTGAATGCCAGCCTGTCAGGATAGAGAAGAGAGATGACCAAAGTAAGAGGTGCTGTGAGCTGAGGCCTGGCTAGGTCCCAGGAAGGTGGGAGCCCAAAGTGGTCCACCTACGCACAACTCTTACAAACAGCCTCCTTACTTCTACGTGTTTCTGTGATCACTTACAAGAGTTTAGGTCTCTGGGTTCAATTTCAATTTCAAACCTTCCAGAAGAGCCAAAGAACTTAGGAGTTACTCAATCTCCTTCTGTCATGAAGAAACAATAAACATTCCCAGAGAAGAGAGGCCTCTGATCCATCCCACTTTCAACTATTCAATTCTTGTCTTTCACAAGGTATATACGAGGTCTGTTTGGAAAAACTCCAGCCATTGTTAATATAACGAGAACTGTTTGGGTGACATGGATGTAAACCGGCAGCCAATGAGAGGACTGAAATGCACATGCATGAACAATGATCACTTCACTGTACTAGTGGGGGGGGGGTAGATGCCACTGAGTGAGCATGTGCACTGTATGGCTGTCGCATTAAAAAATGACTAAGCGAGTACAGCAATGAAGCTGCATCAACTTTTGCATGAAGCTAGCACATTCCTCCACAGAACACATTTGGACGACTGAGAAGGCTGCAGCTGTGGGCAACTGTTGATTGGCAGTTTCATCACGAGAATGCACCACCTCATGCACCACGCCTCACGTAGACTTTTTTGGCAAAACATCAAATCACCCAGGTGACTCAGCCCCCTACAGCCCAGATTTGGCACCCTGCAACTTCTGGCTTTTCCCAAAACTAAAATCACCTTTGACAGGGAAGAGATTTCAGACTGCTGACAAAATTCAGAAAAATATGAGGGGGCAGCTGATAGTAACTGGGAGAACTGTGTGAAGTCCCAATGTGGCTACTTGGAAGGGGACTGAGGCATCATTGTCCTCTGTACAATCTTTCTTGTATCTTCTTCAGTAAGTGCCTCTATTTCTTCAAATTCCATGACTGGACAATTTTTGGATAAGCCTCATATATTGGTGTTAGGTGGGTTAGAAAAGAGACTGAGAAGTTTACCAGCTCCATCAACCCTCCTGTGTTATGGTCATAGCAGTAAATAATTTAACGTACTCAGCAATACCTCTTCATGTATTAGCTTGTCTAATCACATGAGCTTCGGCTAATCCACTGAACCTGCCTCGGACCCACATGGGATGCCACAGACACAACACCCTAGTGATGATGCAATCAGAAGGGAACTACAGATATTTCAGAAATTATACCACCGAAGTTGTTTTCTCTAACAAGATCTGAGTACAATCTGCCCAGTTATACTCTTAAGAGAAAAACCTTACAAACTTACGAAGACTGGGGGGAGGAGGAATCATTGCCCCCGCAGGAGGAGGAGCAGAGAACGGAGTGGGAGGTATCTTTCCTTGCTGAAATGCCGCAGCTTTAAAGAAAGTGAGAAAAAACACACGGTGAATGAGAATTCAACAGCCCATTTACTCAAATAACTACTTTCTTTTAATCTTTAATGATCCCAATTATTTAATTCTAAAAAGCAACCATATAAGATTACTATAGCATGCCCTCTCCAGTTTTAAAATCAACTTTATGTATTCACCAGCTAAAACTGCAATTAATTGGCTTACTGGTTTGGGTTTTTTTTAATTGTTTTTATTCAGTTAGTATTTCTATGGCTGAATTAACTATAGAAAATTGGAGTGAAAACCTTCTACCAAAATGTCTTGCCAAAGAGAAGCGGCCACCCACAGTTTTGTTTGAAAATGTCCCCAAAACACGCGCTGCAAACTGTTCCTTCCTGTACATGCTGCTGGGAGTCAAAACAATAGGCTATTTGGTTTACCAGTTTTGAAATGAATGCACTGACCTAAGGGGCGAAAAGAAAGATTTCAAGGCAAGAGCCTGAGCCAAAGTAGATTACGATCTTTAAAAATGTCTGATACAATCAACTTTTAATTAAAAAAAAAATCCTTACCAGAGGTTATGTTTTTTATCAATTTTAGAGAGGAAGAGGGGTGGGGAGAGAAAGAGAAACATCGATTAGTTGCCCCCTGTATGCTCCCTGATCAAGGTTCACCTACTCACCCCAACTGGGAATCAAACCCACAACCTCGGTTATGTGCTATGACTGGGAATCAAACCTGCAACCTTCTGGCATGTGGGACAAACATTCCAACCACCTAAGCCACCCAACCAGGGCTCAACTTTTAATTTTTCTTTCAGACAACACGAGGCACAAATGAAAACAAAAGAGACTGAAGATCATTTATATTTGGCTTTTTAAAAAAGTCACAAATATTAAAATACACATTCATAAAATTTATTCCTGAATATAAGTCCTTCCCAATTCAGTGTAGTCCACAACCCAGGCACCCTTCCCCTATCCTAACTCATGCTCATCAGTACAAAGGTGGTCAAATAACTCAAGTAATCACCGATAATTCATGAGCACCAAATCAAAAAAACTGACCTAGAGTGGCTATTTATGAACAGCTATTCATATGCCTCTGAATGGTCTGAGTTCTATAAGGAATCATATCCCAATAAGGCACCTCCCACACCCTGAATAAAAAGAACAGCTTATAAAGACTGAAGGGGGACTAAGTCATTGACTCAGTAGCAGACTCAATGTCAACATAATCATGAACATGAAGAGGTGTGTCCCTGCCCTGGCTAGTACAACTCAGTTGGTTGGAGCAACATCCCTTAAAACCGAAAGGTCACAGGTTCGATTCCCAGTTGGGGGATGGATCTCCCTAGGTTACGGGGTTTGCTCCTTAGTCAGAGCACATGCAAGAGGCACCAATCAATGTTTCTCACATTGATGTTTCTCTCCCGCTCTCTAAAATATAAGCATGTCGTCACCTGAGGACTTATTTAAAAAAAAAAAAAAGAAAAGTGTATCCCTGAGGTCTTGCTTCTCTTCCAAGTCTTCCCTCAAAAATATTCACTCATCCTAAATTTTTTTTGCTGTCTACAAAAATAACTAAATATGAGGCTATTCTTCAGTGCCAAGAAATGTCTAATGCTTTTTTAAATAGAGAAAAAAAAGATTACATTATAATTTATTTTTTTCAAATAAAATGGGACAACGTCTGAGATTTGCTCCTTAATCTAGGAAGGATAAAGGGAGTAGATGAAGGTATTTGGTGGCTCTCAACCAGGGCAATTTTGCCCCTCGGGAATACTGGGTAATGCTTGGTGACATTTCTGGCTGTCACAACTGGGAACTGTTCCTTGATGGTAGGTGCCAGGCCTGTTGCCAAACACCCTACAGTGCACACAGGACAGCCCTCACAACAAAGAATTTCAAAACCCCAATGTCAATAGTACTGGGTTGGAGAGCTTTGGGATAAATGAAACAAGAGTGTTGTAGCTGAGTGCTGGGGGAATGGGAACTGAGGAAGAGGGTAGTAGGGGAGCAGCGGCCATGGAAGGTTTACTCATTAAACTTGTCTTTCTCCTATGTTTGAAATATCCCACAGCAGTTTTTGCTTCTGAAAAAAAAATCACATCTACAATCGAAGTCCACATTTGTCTGCCAGCTCTGAGTACAATAAATAATCAAGAAAGGATGTGTTTTAAATAGACCAGGATGATCTAAGATAAAAATGCAACATCCTCTGTCCGTGTCCTGAACCCAACTAGCTGAAACAACAAAAATGTCCCTAATTAAACAAAAAGATTACGGCACCTGTGACAGGGTTCCAAAACATACCCAGATTATTTCGTCACCTCAGTTACTTGCTTTCTGACTAGTTATCTTTGTCAGGACAACAAAAAATAAGAAACTCAGAATCTCTCAAACTCTTTGAAGAAAACTACAAACCTACTCCCTACCTACCTTTTCCTACTGTATCAGAAAAACAGTTCTAAAGAGTTGTATGGATCACTACAAAAGAGGTTTTACATAAATTTGCTACATAATCCAGTCCATGTCAATAAACATTAGGCAACTCATCCTTCCTTGTCCCACTTTCCAGTCTAACACCTGATTGCTCTAACATCAATAATTAATATTAATGTGCTGCCATGTCCCCGGGAAACCAATGACCTTCCACTTCTTTCATTCATCACATGAGAATGCTCCTATTTATCATTCAGGATGAGTTGCTTCTATGAACAACAACAGATACAGGGACGAGAAAGAATGGGACCATTCTACCACATAAGCACAGGAGACTGAAACATACTTGTTTTGTCGATCAGGCTCTGAGCCTGCTCCTCCATCCATTTCTGGTAGTAGTCTTTCACATTCTCTTTGTGTTTCCTGCCACTGCAGTGTGTCTTTCTCACAGACGGCTGTGAAACAAAAAGGTTGTATCAGTCACGGAAACAAATTTCCCAAACTAGAAATTTTATAAAGCCGTATGTTTACATACAGGTGGCCTGGCTACCTTTAGCAGCTTTAGCTAATCCATCACTTATAAACGTTATCCATGTTATCTACTATGCTTATTATCTAAACCAGAGCAAACTGTGGCCTATGGGCCAGCCATCTGATTTTGTAAAAAAAAGTTGTATGAACACAGCCACATTCATTTGTTTATGTATTGTCTATTTCTTCCCTCTACAAGAGTGAATAATAGCAATGAACACATGGTCCACAAACCTAAAATAATTATAATCTGGCACTTTTAAGAAAAGTTTGCTAGCCCTGGCTGGTGTGGCTCAGTGGATGGAGTGCCTGTCTGTGAAATGAAAGGCTGCCAGTTTGATTCCTGGGTTGCAGGCCAGGTCTCCAGTTGGGGGTGTGTGAGAAGCAACTATTAATGTCTCTCTCACATTGATGTTTCTCTCCCTCTCTTCCTCTCTCTCTAAAAAATAAAATCTTAAAAAAAAAAAAAAACAGCTTGCAAACCACTGATCCCTTTTAATGCCCTTTCTTAGGTTATTCTATGGCAAAAAGAAAAAAGGCTTACATACATTTAAATAATACTGTTTATGACAATATATTCTCTTAAATGACTGTATGGATCTAGGTAGAGATGTCTAACCTTTTGGCGTCTCTGGGCCACACTGGAAGAAGAGTTGTCTTGGACCATGCATTAAATACACTGTGACATGTAATCACCCAAAAATCTCATACTGTTTTAAGTAAAGTTATGACACTGTGTTGGCCACATTCCTAGCCACCCTGGGCTGCACATGGCCCTGGGCCGCAGGTGCGACACCCCTGGTAAAGTCTCTATAGATCACGTACAGGCCTTTGTCTCCAGCCCACTATTCTTTTCGTTTTCTTTGAACAGCTTTTTGGGATAAAAATGACATACAATAAACTCCATACATTTAACCTTCTGTTTTTTAAATTTTGTTTAACATTCACTATATGCCAGACAGCTTTGTACTTTACAAGTTTTTCAATCTTCATAAAAAATCATGCATGCACATTAACCACAACAGTAACTGTAAAGAACAAATCATTAAAAAAAAAAAAAAAAAGAACAAATCACTGATACAGGAAATATGGACGAATCTCAAAAACACACTCAGCAAAAGAAATCAGGCACAAGCCCAGTGTATATACTGTACGATTCCATTCACATGTAGTTTTAAAACTAGTAACACTGATCTTCAGTAAAAACCAGACCAGTCAGGGCCAGAGGTATAGGAGACTTACTGCAAAGGAACACAAGGGAACTTTCTGAGGAGATGGAAATGTTCTGTATCTTGGTGTACACATCAAGTTGTAATCGTCTGACAACTCATCAAACTGTATACTTACAAAGTTTGTATTTAACTAAACGTAAACTATAATTCAATAAAACTGATTTTAAAATATCACAAGATTATTCTATAGATAATAAATCTTCTATTTTTATGCTTAAAGATCTGTCTCAAAACACATAGCTGGTAAGTGGTGAATCCAGATCTCAATGAGATGCTCCCCATGGCTGCCTAACCACCTCCTACCAGTAGTAAATCTCCTCTTTGAATGATTGATTCAGTGGCAGAAGATATGACCGATATGACATGAGTGGTCCACATTTCAAAATACTGTTCCCTGTCTCCCAAGCCACTGCTTACACTATGCTTAGAACAATGATGCCTCAAGCCTAATAACAAAATCATGCCTGAGAACCAGTAAGAGTTCCAAAGTTAAACACTGAATGTTTTATACATTTCAAAGTCCTCTGCAGGGAGTTGCTTCAATCACCATGGAAATCTCATACTAGTTCACAAGCTATCATGTTAGAACAACAGTATTACAAGGGTTCCTGATGTTTCTGATAGAGAGACATTTATTATAAAAAGGTCCCTTTCACCCTTGGCCAGCATGGCTCAGTTGGTTGGAGTGTTGTCCAGTAATCAAGGGGTTGCAGGTTTGATTCCTGGTCAGGGAACATACCTAAGCTGTGGCAACCAATCAATGCTTCTTTCTCACATCAATGTTTCTCTCTCCCTCTCCTCCCTTCCTCTGTCTCTCTAAAAGCAATGAAAAAATGCCTTCAGGTGAGGATTGAAAAAAAATATCCTTTTTCAATTTTCTGAATTTTGGCATTAGCAATATGAGTGGGCATATGAAAATATATACTGCTAAAAAATTAGAGAGGTACAGCCCCCTTGCTAACAATGTCAGAAAATTAAGACTCCCCAAATGACTTATAGGAAGTTAGGCACAAAAACAAAACAAAACAAAAAGATTTGGGATATATAGGTAAGCTATTACTGACACAAACTTATTCAAAGGTCCTCCTCCAAGACATCTACAGTAACATTCAGAACCATCCTACTAACATGTTCCAGAAATCTATTAATGCTAAACTATATGTGACCATGTGTCAGAAAGAATTCCAAATGAAGTGTCAACAGAGAAATCACTGGCTAAGTTCTTGCAGCCACTATTCAAAACATGATTATCAAAAAGTTCTGATTTAATCGGGTTTCTGCAAAGGCAGAAAAATATAGAGCTGCACTTCTCAAGGTGTGGCTCCCAGACACCTGAGGGCGTCTTTGACCAGACTTCAGGGGTGGGGGGGTCTGCAAGGTCAAAAAAGGTTTATAATAATATTAAGACATTACTTTTCTCACTGTATTGACACTTTCACTGAGGCTGCCAAACTCCTGGTGCTCTGGAATGAATCATGGCAATGGCAACCTGAAGCATTAGTGATCAATGCATTTTTCAGTAACATGTACTCATGGGAGAGAGAGAAGTGGAGTCAGTTTCATTGACTGTCCTTGATGAAGCAGTAAAATTGTCCCCCACCCCAAGATTCTATTTATTTATTTTTTAGAGAGGTGAAGGGAGGGAGAAAGAGAAAGATCAAATGTGGGCTGCCTCTTGTGCGCTCCCCACTGGGGACCAGGCCTGTGCCCTGACTGGGAACCAAACCAGTGATCCCTTGGTTCACTAGCTGGTGCTCAATCCACTGAGCCACACCAGCCAGGACAGAAAATTTGTTAATTTTATTAAATCTCAGTGCCTGAGATGTCTTTTTAATATTCTGAGTGACAAAATGGGAACTATGTACAAACCAGTTCTGCTATGTACCAAAATATGCTATGTCAAAGAAAAGTAGGCATTCGATTGTTCAAGCTGTAAGTTCTACCAACTTCATCTTTGATAGAACATCATTTTTATTTGAAAAAACTAAGAAACAAACTAATTATTCAGATTCCTCAAAAATAAATGAAATAAACCAGTTACTTTGAGGAAAGCAATCAGTAGTATTTAAAATTCTGACTTTTCAAATAAAAATTAGGCTTTTGGAAAACTTTATCACCACCACAAGCTTGTCGGCTTCTGAATATTTAAAAGTGGTTTCTGATTAGATTGTGACATTAACCAACATAAATTTTTATGTTATATAAACAAATGTGTCAACACTTGGAAGACTCATGTAACTGAGAGAACAAATATTTTCCAAGTGACAAAAGCATGCTACAAAATCATGTGTGGTGAAAGGTCCACTCAAAGTAGAAGAGAGACCAGTGAATTTTAATGTAACCAGGTATGAAAACTGATATGTTTTCAGATTCCATACTGCAACTAACCATGTGTTGATTTTTGGGCCGAAATATAAAGTACTAAAGAATAGCTACAATAATCTAAAAGGGCTATTAAAGGCTATTAAATGGCCTAAAAAGGCTATTAAAGAACTCCTCTTTTTTTCAACTCTACACCCATGTGGGGCTGGACTCTTCATATATTTCACCCAAAACATAGTGGAATAGATGAGAAGTTCTATTTCTCATCTATTGAGAATTTAGTTAGCTGTCTGCCATTAAGTCTGACATCAGATACATTTGCAAAAATGTGAAAACAATGCCATGGCTCGTACTAAATAGTTTGTTGGGGAAAATAGCTAGTTTTCACTTTTTAAATGTTATTTGTGTTACAAATAAAAAGTATGTTATTGTTAACTTTAAATGATATATTTTTAAATTTTTGTTTTAATTTCAAATATGCAAATATTAATAGCTATACACCACAAAACCTAATTTTTTAACAACCCAGTATTTTTAAGAACGTAAAGGGATTGTGAGACAAAAGCTTGACAGTGGCCAGCACAGAAGCTCTGTAGAACACTGCCAAGCTCCATGCGATGTATAATGTTGTAACATCGGTCAGTTATTTATCCACACCTTGCCTCAGTTTCCTTCTCTGTAAAATGGAAATATTAACTTCAAACGATTACCATGAACAGCAAACAAAATAATACACATAAAGCATTTGGAACAATGGGTGACACAGTATGTATTGAATCTTGGATGCTGTTATTACTTGTTAAGCAGTTTTTAATGCAAATTAAAGTACTTGGTTTCAAACTTAGGCATTTCTTTTCAATTCCATCAAACATTTGAGTGCTGTGGCACAAATATTTGAGCTTTAAGATACTTTCCTGGACTTTTTAATTGTCATATACAGTTTTTTTCATCTTTAAACTTGCTAAGGCTTTATTATTTTGAGTCTCCACTGAAAACACTGACTGCTGGAAGACTAATCACTTCAAATTCTGAAGACAGTTACAGTAAAGGTAGAAAAATAAACACCTCCAATTATTTTCTCCAAGCAGGGGCCCTTAAACCTCAGCAGACGAAAACCATAAACTTACACCTAAAAAATATCTAATTTATTACATACAAGGTTTTTTGAAGCAGAAAAAAAACACCACTTACAGAGTCATGGGTGAGGTATGTATCGCAGTAGTCACAATAAAACCTGGAGGGAGATGGAACGTAGAAAAAAGAGATGACAACCCGTTAATAGATGCCCATCCACAGAAGTGCTGTTCATTTAAGGTTAAAAAATAACAATAAAAGGTCTAGTACTGATTCGTACACGTCAAACAAAGCGCCCTGACATAAATCAGGCTTTTTTATTCCTCTATAGGCCATCGATCTCCACACTCTAAAAGGGGGATCCAGAACCCGCCCCCTTCCTCCCTTCCTCAGACCCTCTCGTTTCCGTTGAGGCTACAGGAGCCAGAATCCGCCCTGCAAACCCCAACAGGGCCATGATCACAGGGCCATGTCAGGGCCCAGACAGGGTCATTAGTGACTGTAACTGCGAAAACCGCCCCCAGATTCAAGTCCCCACTCACTTGGGCATGTTGTTCTGCAGGCCGTTGGCCACTCGGTTCCTTACCACAGGAAGTGACGCACACACCAAGCGCCGACGCCGCGGAATGACGTATTTAGCGCGACTTCCGTTACCCTCCTCAGTCATCCAATCAGTGTGCGGAGCGGTGCTGCGCCAATACTCCAGTGTGTGGCCGGGTCGGAGGGGTGGGGCTTCTCCTTCCTTCCTGCCACCTACAGGAAGGCGGGAGTACTAAGGGTCCTTATGAGGTTCAATGTACGCGCATTTACTTCATCTTGATTCCTGATGCTCCCTGAAGCGTGTTATTCATTCTCTCCACAAATAGCTAACGGTTACCCGCTATCTGCCAGGGTGTGCTCTAAGTACTGAGAAGACAGCAGTGGATAAAACAAACATCCCTGTCATGAAGATGACGTTCGAGTTAGGGCAGACAATAATAAAGTCAGTATGTAGTAGTTTAGATGGAGCCAAGTTCTATGCAGGGTGAAAAATTAACCAGGAAAGAGGGAGCTCAACTTTAAATAATAGGGAAAACTTGCTGAGAAGGTGAACAACTGAGAAAAAAAATCAGTTGCTTAAAGCAATAAAGCCAAGTGCAAGTTGTTTTACATAGAGTGTCTTTTTCGAGTCACATTAACTGCAGGAGAGTTGAATCCTTGGTGTTTAGTCTTATTTTGCCGCTTACTACCTCTGCTGCTTGTGCAGTTTCCTCTGAAAAATATGGGTAGTAATTCTTACTTGTGGGGTTTAAACTGATAGAAGTAACTTGTCCACAGATATAACCTGTTCTAACAACAAGGGCAAACTTCCAGCCTGATCTATCAGACTGCAAAATGCAACTGGGGAGGAGGAGCTTTAGATTCTTCTGCTTCACACTCTCTGGTGGTGGAAATGGAACTAAAATAATAATTGCTACTTTATTTGAATATGTACTATGCCCCACGTGCATTAAATGCATTAATTTATTTAATCCACTTAACAACCCTATTATTCACGTTTTAGGTGAGGAAGCTGAGCTTTAACAAGGTTAAAGCTTCCTGGTCCTAAAACAAAAGTTAATTGTACAATGAAGTCATCAATCTTTCACCACTTCAATACAGTGGTAACTCAGCATTGGTAATACTAAGAACAGTCAGATATGTGTCTCCTGCTGGGATTCCAACATTAAGTAGAAATCACTACCTATGATGTATTCTTACCCAAAATGTTTAACTTGGGTCTAATCAAGGTTATAGGATAAGCTAGGAGAGCAAGCTAAAGGAAAGCAAAACGCAATGAGTAGATTTAGAAGGTGGGACATTTTATAGGACAACTGGCCTCTTTCGTTCACCAAATCAAGAAAAGGTGCCACTCTAGATTAAAATATTTTTTAAGAGGTATAACAATTAGATTATTGAATTGTCCAGGATTAGATCTAGTTTGGAAAAACCAGCTATAAAGGACAACTGGAGGCAAATGCCTGGGCCTTAATGTTGCAGTTCTAGAAACCTACATTTGTGTATGCACCCTGAGTTGATTCTTCTCAAAGGGATGGATTCATTAATTATGTTTTTATTCTTCTCCTTATTTCTCTGTGCTGGCCCTGGTATTGTTTTGCCCTCAAGTCCATGTCTTATCTTTCCCCTCATCTTTTCAGCATGCCAGTGGGGGCCTGACCCCATGAAGGCTGCATGGCTTGGACTGATGTGCTGGTTGGCTTCCAGGCTGAGTTGCTAGGCCCATCGATGGGAGGCACTTCTGCAGATTGGAGGGACTGAGGGAAAAAGCAGAGTGTACCCACCCCCACGCCAGAGTACCCATCCCCACCCACCCCCCCAACCTTAGGCTGTCTCCTCCAACCTACCTAGCTCTAACTTTTAACAGATGATTCCAGCTCCTGGGATCTGGTAACAAGATGTATCTTTCTTCTGTTCCTCCAGTGTAAGAGTGGCAGTAGCTTCTTGCTATTGCTCATCTCTGGGCTACTTTACTATTTGCTTCACTTGTTATCTCTGCCAACACCTATGTAAAACAATTCTTTGAATTAAATGTCCTCTGTTTTAAATACTTAGAATGTTTACTGTTTTCCAAGACTCAGAGGGTAACCTCCAAGTTCCAAGAGGGTATTTCCCTTGTATCCCGCCACATGACGTATTATCTTGGAAAGCAGTGCTTTTTGCACTTTTCCTCTGAGGGTTCCAGGCAACTTTGAGAATTAATTTGTTACCTTCATTCTTCTAGGTGTAGGGTCAAAATCTAATGTGGTCATCTTTGCTCGAAATGCCCTTGAACTCTTGTGCGATATCTTAAACATTCACAATGTTTGCAATCTACTGCGTAATATGTCTATGCTATCCATTTCTTCTCAAGATATTTTGTGCAGTATGTTCCCCAGCCATACCCCTGTTACCAGTTTCTTCCCTGTCCTTCCAGAGAGACACTATGCAAATGCAAACACAAACCTGTGTTCTGGTTCCATTTTACAAATGCATAGTACTTCATTGTTTGGATATACCTCAATTTATTAACCTGTTGATGAACACTTAAATTGTTTCCTGTTTTTTACTATTACTGGCACATATGCAAGTATATTTATAGGATAAATTTCCAGAAGTAAAATTACTAGGTTAAAGAGCTTTGCTTTATAATTTTGAAAAATACTGCCAAATTGCCCTCTGTTGTATTTGAGTGATTTTTCATCTTTTCAATGATAGATTAAAAACGGCAGGTACTGTAATGATAGGTATTATAACTTTACTTCTCTTATGAATAAAGTTGAGCATTTTTTCATATGTTTAAGAGCCTTAAGGAGTCTATTATATACTATTCTATGTAGACTGCCTTTCATGCCATTTGCCCCTTTGTCTATTGTATTAGTCTCATCCTTCTCTTTTCGATTTGTAGAGAACTCTATATATATTAAGGAAATTTATTTTTCCTGTAATATGAATTGCAAATGTTTTTCCATTTTGTTATTTGTCATTGGTTCTATTTTGGGTGATTTTTATCATGAAATAATTTCAATTTCTGTGTTGCTAAAACTTAATCAATTCTTTTACAATTTCTGCATTTTATGTCATACTTAGAGAGCCTCCCCCTCTATGAGCTTTTTAAAAATTCTGTCATTTTTTCTAGTTCTTTTATTGTCATTTTCCATATTTATATCTTTAACTACATGAAATTTATTTTTTAAAAGATTTTATTTATTTTAAAGAGAGGGAAAGAGAGGGAGAGAAATATCAATGTGTGAGAGAACCATCACTTGGCTGCCTCTCACACACCCACAACCAAGGAAGGCATGTGCCCTGACTGAGAATTGAACCGGTGACCTTTGAGATTGCAGGCCAGCACTCAACCCACTGAGGCACACCAGTGGATTCTCTTCTCTCTCTCTCTCTCTTCCTCTGTCTCCCTACCTCTCTCTCTAAGAGCAATGAAAAAAATGTCCTCAGGTGAGAATGATATAATAATAATAATATTAATAATGTGACGCTGGACACTTGCTTTGTCTTGACCTTGCTGAAGACACAGTTGGACTTTTTCCATAGTGGGACAGATGGAGATAGGACAGAGGGTCAGCCTTCCACCCAAATAAACCTTGCCACACCACAACCTCTCATGCATGGGTGGATGAAATGTTTTTCTCTCAATCCCTTTAAAGAGCCCCACTTCCACCAGCAACAATCCCAGCACCAGTTTTTTGATAATCCGTCATTTTTACTACTAATGTGAAATGCTACTTTTATCATCTACTAAAGTCTTCTATAAATTCTTTTCATTTCTGGGATTTTGGTCTGTTCTATTGGTTTGTCTATTAATGTGCTTTGGCAAGAAAAAAATTCTGAGATGTTCTAAATTAAAATTATAGTGGCTGGAGAGTGAGAGAAAGGGACAGAACAGTTAGCCTGTTAATAGCTGTGGATCAACTCTAACAAAAGACTGCTCACATTTCTGTATACCTGTTGGAATTTTGGGTTAGTTTCCAGGTGGCGACTTTAGAGATTATCTGAAAGAGAGAACCACCAGGCACCGTCAGACCCCAGGAGTCTCTGCTTCTCATTTACGCATGAAGTTTCCCACCTGCTGCCCACAGCTCATCCACGGGAGTGGACACTTCTTCCTTGCTGGCTCAGTACCTATCCCAGAGCTGGCATCGCTTCACCTTCTCCCATCCCCTTTGTCCATAGCTAATGTAAATCTTTTCAGAATAGCCTATATCCCTCTTCCCCCTACCTGATGTATAAAAACTCTTGCAAAACTCCGGATCTGTGGACATGTTGTCTTTTCCAACTGGCCAAGCTGCTGGGGCTTTAGGATTCAGGTCCCAAGACCAATTTTCTATTTTTGCTATCAATGGCCTAATAAACCCATTCTTTAAAAAAAAAAAAAAAAAAAAGTCTTTCAGGCCCTGACCGGTGTGGCTCAGTTGGTTGGTTTGCCCAAACCAATTGAGTGTGACAGTAAAGCAAAAGGTCACAGTTAGATTCCGGTCAGCACATGCTTGGGCTGTGGGTTCATATAGTCCCAGTGAGGGCATGGTCAGGGCACATGCTAGAGGAAACCGATCTATGTTTCTCTCTCACACTGGTGTTTCTCTCCCTCCCTTCCCATCTCTCAAAAAATAAATTTAAAAAATCTTTTTGAAAAATAGTCCTGGCTGGTGTGGCTCAATGGGTTGAGTGTCAGCCTGTGAACAGAAGTGTTGCCAGTTCAATTCCCAGTCAGGACAAATGCCTGGGTTGTGGGCCAAGTTCCTGGTTGGGAGCGTGTGACAGGCAACTGATCAGTGTTTCTCTCTCTCCCTTTCCCCTCTCTGGAAATGAATAAATAAAGTCTTAAAAAATTTTAAAAAGTCCTTCAACCATGGATGTTAACATTTTTGTATAACAGCCTCTACCAACTGTTTTGTTAGAGTTCATGTCTTACCTATGGTTATTCTAATATAAAATGTATTTCAATTACCCAGCTAAATTGCTTAACTTTATTCCTTTCTTAAAAAGATATTCCATCAGGGACTCATGTGTTACATTTGTCATGTGGTTTGTCACACCCTCTGGTACACTGTTGTATATCCCTGCAGGGTAGTGTTGACAGCTAAATATATGA